CACCTGGGAGACGCAGGCTGCATTTTCTGACGTGGTTTTTTTGAGAAGATTTATAAGCCAGGAAAAGCGGAGTCGTCACGTTTGCTTCCAAGATGGCATTCTGGCCATCTTATTCTGTTCTCTACCCTTCATCGTTTCTAAGGATGCTTTTAAATAACCTAACATTTCTCCAAGTCTGAGTTTGTAAGCACCTCCCCTCATYATGGTCCCCTTATCCTTATGGTACAGTTAATAAATTCCAGGTTATTGAAGTTTATTAAAACTCCATCAAAGGTCGGCTGGGAACAGAGGGAGGCTGTCCTCGGTCGACTGCTCTGCCAGAGGCAGGGGCATGGCTTCTCCCCCTGGGTGACCTGGAGATGTCTCACAAACCACCCCGGAGAATGAACTGCTGTCTACACGGGCAGCAGGAACTCAGGAACGCATCCACCCTCCCCGTGGTGGGGACAGCCATGAGGGTGCCAACTGCCTCGAGACTCACTCACCGCTGTTACCTCCCAGAGGATTTCCATGACCCCTCATCATCTCACCTTCTTTACCTTGGTCACTTTCTCTTTTAATGTGACATCATGTGTTTATTTATTTCTCATTGTCCCCCCACCCTTCCACCCAGAACATAACCTCCAAGTCAGCAGGGACTGGGTCTGTTTCTTTGTAGCTTTATCCTGAGAATGTGGCACATAATAGGTGCTCAGTAAAAATGTCTTTGTTTAGCCTGGGGACTCGTCCCAAGCACATCGAATCAGGGACTTCCTCATATCCACACAGTAAACTTCAGGGGAACCTGCTTGGGAATCCCCTGGGAAGAGGGTCCTCCAAGTCCCGAGAGCTGTGGCCTCTTGAGATGTACCTTAGTATGAGAGGCTCAGGTCTGAATGCACTGACAACACTCACAAAAAATCAAACAAAATGGACTCACTTGTCCACTGCACATGAGGGGAGTCACTGTCCCATGCATGGAGGCACCAGACCCTGGGCCAGGCTGCCCTCTGGATGCTTCCACTGCCCTGAGCTGCGCAGGCCTCTGCTCTCTTCCTGAAGGTGGCTTTCTGTGACGATTCCTCACACACGGTTTGCTCAGGGAAGAGCCAGAGGTCCGGGCCTGGCGCCGTGCTTAGGTCTCAGGCCAATCCTCTGCCAAGGTACCGTGGTCCTGTCTCAGCCACCTGCACCCACCTCAGACGGAGCGGCTGCACTTTGCTGGTGAGGAGCAGGAGGCTCGGGTGGGCAGTCCTGCTTCCCTGGTGCTGGCAGACAGAACAGGGCTGACTTCTCTGACTCTGCCCGATGTGAGCACAAATGTCTGGGAGCTGCACAGGCCTTGTCAGGGCCTTCATATCAACAAACTCGCCCACTGACCCTTAGAAGAGCTCTCAGTGCTGCAGTCCTACTGAGCCGTCCACTTCTGGTGAGACAGTGGGGTCTCTTCTCCACTTGCCCACTTGCCGATTTATTTTGGCTCTGCCATCTCCTGCTTGTCCATATGGACAGGGTCATCTCAGGACATTTGGCGTTGAACAGAGGAAACCAACCCCAACTTGGCAGAGACAGGCTTTACTGAGGCCCACGGGGCAGAGACCCACTGGGCAGGCGAGTGGCCAGGGTAAAGGAGAGCCCAGAGCCAGCTGATGCAAAGTGGCGATCTCTGTCTCCTCCCCTGTGGGGCTGCTTCTTCTGTGACCCTATTCTCTGGTCATCTCTCTGCTCTCTGGGCCTGTGACCACCTGCAGCTCTTTAATGTATTGTGTCCAGTTCCAGCGGCCAGTCCAGTGTGATCATCTGAAGGTGACTGTCACCAAGGATATAAGATCTGCTTTGGAAAATAGTACCCAAGCAAGGACTCTGATTCTTTAGAGAGCAGAGCTTAGGCTTGATGTTGGTCCCCAGAGCCCAGGMCAGCGCCTGACATACAGAAGGAGACAGTAAAGCCCCGTGGGATGGATGGCCCCACTGGTCCAGCCACACACACCAGGCAGCGCCCTACACAGCCGAATAGTCACGCTCYAGGGCCATCTTTAGCCCTAATTAACTGCTGTTTCCCTTTTGCCAGAACTGGAACTAGTCAGAAAAAAGTGAGAATAAAAATCGAGTATAGGTGGGCTCCAAATCACTGACAATGGAAAGTTCGTCCCCATCCTCAAGGACTTCAGCTAAGTTTAGGATCAAAGCTAAAAAAAGGGGGGGGGTCGGGGTTGTGGCTCAGTGGGAGAGCACTTGCCTGGCATGTGTGAGGCCCTGGGTTCCATCCTCAGCACCACAGGTAAATAAATAAATAAAATAAAGGTTTTGTGTCCATCTACAAATACAATTTTTTTTTTAAAAAGGGAAATTACTGGGAGAATTCATTTATTTTTTATGAAACCCAAAGGCAGCACAGCTGGACTCCCCAAGGGTCAAGGACCAAGCACCAAGAGTCACCAGGAGCCAGTTTCCCCTGTGTCACTTGTCCATGGCCCATCGTGATGGTTTTTGAATGGCCCTCAATTTCTGGGACCACATCACCCGCCCACTAGCCTCTGCATCTGGGGACCAGATTCCTTGGAGAAACTTGCCTATCCCAGCTCAGCCTCTGATTGGCTCTCCCTGGGTCATGTGGACACAAAACTCAGTCCAATCAGCACTGACCTGAGCACCTGGAGGTCACATGATGCCAACATGGCGCTGAGGTCCTTCCTGTTGTGGAAGTGCTGAGTGGACTTTGGGAGCCCTGAATTCTGATGGCTTCTCTCTGCCCTGTCCTAGCCCCAGGGCTGTAAGGCCCAAGAATGCRTGACTTGAGTCTCGCCTCCCTGTCTCCTGCCTTCTATTTAAGAACAAAAACACAATAGAAAAGGASGAGGGTCTATCGTCTGGGTTTATCCTTTTTAATCATTTTTACTCTTTTCTTCTCATTTCCTTTTTAATTATAAAAAAAGAGGTGGCCCACACTAACAGGTCTGGGCAATTAGGAAACGGGCCTAGAAGACGCTGGGGAACCTCCAGGTGAAGGGGCTCCCTGCCTGGAGAGTGGTTTTAACTTAACGTTGCAGAGTGGCCCACGCCTGTCATCCCAGGGGCTCGGGAGGCTGAGGCAGGTGGATCGTGAGTTCAAAGCCAGCCTCAGCAATAGTGAGGCGCTCAGCAACTCAGTGAGACCCTGTCTCTAATAAAATACAAAATAGGGTGGGGCTGAGGCTCAGAGGTCCAGGGCCCCTGAGTTCAGTCCCTGAAACCAAACCAAACAAGACGAAGAAACAGGTCAAGCTGCTATGTCCACAGCACTCCTGACTGTAGAGGGCTCTTGGGGGGTCAAGGGAGGGCTGGCTTCCCCTGGGCTGAGGATCGAGCSGTGGATGCGTTTGCTATGGCTGCTGGGACAGATTCTCAAACATGGTGCCCAAGRCCACAGACCGTCCTGTGGCACTTCTGCAGGTCAGGTGGCCCACATAAAAATCAGCAAGTGATTCTGAAATCCAGGGGTCAGGAGGCCTGGCTGCCCCATCCCTTGCTGCCTCCAGCTTCTGGGGCTTCCAGTGTTCCCTGCCTGGAGAGGTCCCACCACCTCCTGGGCACCCAGACTCCCTGCCTCTCGTGGGGACACTGCGATGGGTGCAGACACCCAGATAACCCAGCATCGTCTCCTCATCACCCCTTAATTTAATCACAGCTACAAAACCCTGATCATATGAGGCGATGATCGCAGGTTCCAGGGTTAGGGTCTCCTCCTTTGGGGGCCTCCATTCGGTCCGCACAAGCCCCACGCCCCGTTCCCTCCCTCAAGGAGCACCTAGGTGGGAAGTCACCCACAAGCTGTCTACCAGAGGCCAGGTGGAGAGTTCCAGAACGTCGCCTCTCAGGTGGCAGAGGAAGAAGCATGAGCAGCCAAGCCAGCCCTGCCCAGGGACCAGCAGCACAGGGTGCCCGGGGCAGGGCAGCTGCGGGCACCTCCCCTGCGGGTACAGTGTCTGCATAAGGCAACGGAAAGCCGGGGACTTCCTGCCCCGCCCTGTTCCCAGGTGAGAGGGGACTCACCTCCTGTCTGCCCAGAGCCTGAGGGTCTTCTTCAACCAGCCCAGGCCCCTCCGCAGACCCTTCAGCAGCCCACTCCCCCTGCACCAGGGCCAGGAAGGTGTTCTCTGGACTTGGTCCTGCTCCAAGACCAAGACCCTGGCCCCTGAGGCCTCTGTTCCCCTCCTTTGTCCCATCCTTGACAGTCTCGGTCCCCGGGCCTGCCTCCCTCCCTTCTTTCCTTCCTTCCTTCTTTCCTTTCGTCTCTTTATTTTAGTTTATTTTTGAACGGAGCAATGAACCCAAGGGCGCTTAACAACTGAGCCCCATCCTCAGCCCTTTTTTATTTTTTAATTTTGAGACAGGGTCTTACTAAGTTGGACTCTGCCCGCCCCCCTCCCCCGTGTGGGTGGGCATAGCTAAATTGCTGAGGCTGGCTTTGAACCTGTGATCCTCCTGCTGGGATTACAGGCCTGYGCCKCCGCTCTCGGCTCCCCCGGGCATTTCTTGTGGCTGAGCTTCTTTCCTGCCCTGCACAGGTGGTCACTGCCCCCTTCCAGGAGGACATGCTCACCCACCAGTCAATTCTGGGGACAGATTGCAGGCTGTGCTGAGCCCCCTCCTGGGCCAGTTCAGGTAAGAGGGACACCTGGACAGGTGGAAGGCCGTGGTCTAAACCACCAGGACTTTCTTTGGGGCACATGAGTTGGTGGCGATGCCTCTGAGATCTGGGGAAGCGCAAGTCCCTATTCAGAGTCTGCAGACTAACGTCCGGAGCCACACAGTGGAGTGTTGTGAGAACGCAGGCCCTGGAGCCCGGTGGCGTGGGCTCGAATCCACTTACCAGCCRTGTGACACGGGCTGCTTTACCTAACTTAGGGCCTGGAGAACTCACCTGCAGAATGGCGGTGGCCTGGGTACGGGTGACATGGGAGAGCATATGCCCGGAGCTGAGCCAGTATTGGAAGAGCTGCTAAGATAACTCAGGAGTCCCACGTCCTACATACAAAATAGTTTATTACAAAAAGCTCAGCGTGCCACWCGTCAGAGGGAATCGCACAGGACGSCTTCCCTCTTGAGCCACACACAGGAGAGGCTGGCAGACGGCRCCAAATAAGGCCGCGGTCTTCCGCAGCAGGTGCTGAAGCTCCTCAGGCCCTGGGCYATCAAAACACCAACAGCATGGGGCCTGAGAGAGCCACCCCCGGGGCCGCCCGCCAACCACCATCGCCCCCGTCATCAAACAGCCCGGGTCCTTCTGGGGAAGCTGGCCAGGTGCACCCCCGGCTCAGGACTCGAGGGAAGAGAGCAGATGCCAAACCTGCTGCTCTTCTGAAACAAAGCAGTCAACGCAGAAGCACAGCCACCGTGTGGGACCGTCGCCAGGCATCTTTCTCTGACTCAAAAAAAAAAAAAAATAAGGAGCATGTCGCCCACGACCCAGAGTGGGGGAAGGGCAGGGCAGAGGCCCCGCCGCCCCTCTCGGCGTGGTCCAGAGGGCCACCAGCGCCAGGGCAGCACCTCTTCCAGATGCACCTGCCGCGCGAGCTCTGAGGAGCGCCAGCCACCGCTCCCGGGACTCGGACCCCCATCCAAATGGCCGAGGGCACAGTGGCCCCTGGGCTTCTCAGCCCGGGCGAAGCGGCTGCGTCTCAGTCTGTGGCTCAGGGTGAGCCAGGAGGGACGCGGCCCCGTTCAGTCGGGCGGCCGGGCGTCGGCGGCCTTCTCCTGGACCTCGTCGTACTGTGGCGGGGGAGTCAAGGGCTCGATGGACGGGGGAGGGACATTTTTGTCCGGGAGGTTGATCCTAAAGTCTTTGAGGTGCAGCTTTTCGGATTTGATCCTCCGAACCTTCAGGGGCTTCAGGCGCTTGGCCAGTCTGGAGTTCTGCCTGGCGGGCGGCGGCCCCGCGCTGGCCTCCACCTCGGCCCTGGTGGGGGTGGTGTCGTCCAGCCCGGTCAGGGACTCGTAGGACGGGAGGGAGACGCTCATCCTCGGGCTCCGCTGCAGCTCGGGGCCCTCTGGGTAGTGCGCCTGCATCACCTCCTCGTAGCTGGGGACGTAGTACCTGGAGGAGGCCGCCTCGTCGTCCTCCTCCTCCTCCTCCTCCTCCTGGCTGCAAGACACGAACACACACGGTTGTGAGCACGGGTCACTCCAGGCCCCAGAGGGGGCTGCAGACCCTGCCAGCCTCGTGCACCACTGTGCACCAGGAGCCTGAACTCACCACACCGACTTCATATTCCTGACTAGGGGTGGAGCGCGGTTGGGAGGCCCATTTTACAGATGGAGAAATGATACATCAAGGAAACGGGAGGGCAGGAGGCGAAGGCCACACCGAGCCACTACGCAGCCCCTTGGCATGGAAGCCTTTCACACTGCACCATGCTTTGTGGGGCTGTTTATTCCAATGCCCAGCGGGGGCCTCTGGGAAAGGCAACACAAGACTGGACGCCACAGCCTCCCATCTGTGGGTGTCCCCAGGTGGAGAAGGAACAGCTGACCGTGAACACATGCATCTCAAATTATTCTCAAGTTCATCTCCAGGACTCGGAAGACCAGACGCTCCCCCTTACGTCATTTGACGGTTGAAAGAGAAAACCCAATGCTCAGGACGGGTTGGCACAGCGGACCGAGTCCTGCCAAAGCGTCTTCCAGGACACCCCCTTGAACTTGCAGGGGACGGCGGGCAACAGACACCCCCCCATTGGCCCTGGTCTGGAAAGAGCTTGGGGGTGCTCACGGCTGGCGTGGGTGGGTGTGTGCGGGCGACTGGTTTTCCCCTTTTGATCTTTTCTCTGTCTCCCAAGTTTTCTAGCATCAGTAGGAGGGACAGTGAGTGGCGGGTGACTGGCCACGGGGGCCGGGTCTGTGAGGATCTTCCCAGGAGACATTCCCATTTCAACCAGTGGACTCTGCCCTCCCCGGTGTGAGTGGCCTCTGCTGGGGGCCTGGGTGGAACGAGGGTTGCAGCTAGCAGGAGCCTCCCTTCTCCTGCCTCCAGTTCAGGGGGGCATCTCACGTCTTCCCCTCCTGCCGCAGGAGTGGGCTTCCAACCAGCAGCTCCCTGGTCCTCAGGCCCTCGGACTTAGGCGGAATGAGACCACGGGCTGTCTTGGGCCTGGGCCGCTGGCTTTCTTGGGACTTCTCAGTCTCCACGGCCCCAATTGCCAGTTCCTCAGAGTACATTTGCACACACACACACACACACACACACACAGCCAAGAGCCACACAACAATGTTTTGGTCAATGGCATCCTGAGATGGAGGTCCCGTAAGGTGACGTCACCCGGTGGCCCACAGCTGTCTGGGTTGGCGTAAGTACACTCTGGGAGCTGCTCACACCATAAGCTGCCTTCCTGTGGCTTTCAGGACGTGTCTGAATGCCGTGCTCCGGCCCCACCCCAGTTCTGGGGAACCCTGGCTGGGACAGCAGCGTGGTTTGTCTGGTTATTTGTTTTGATACAGGGAATTGAACCCTGGGCCACTTTACCACGGAACCACATCCCAGTCCTTTTTATTTTTTGATGCAGGGTCTCACTAAGTTGCTGAGGCTGGACTCAATCTTGCAATCCTCCTGCCTCAGCCTCTAAACTGACTGGGATCACAGGTACGTGCCACCACACTCAGTTATGTGTTATCTTTTATTATCAGAAAATAAGTCGGCTTTCTCCGATATAAAAACAACTTCCCTCCTGCTATAAAGAAAGAGATGCTTATAGAAAATTCAAACAACATACAAAAATCCAATGAAGAAAACAAAACATCCCCAGTCCTTCCATGTAGAAAACCACGGTGAATACCCCTGTGTGTGCCTCTCCTGACCCTCTCTGAGCCCACCCCACGCCCTGTGATGTGACAGTCTCCCAAGATGCTGAGCTGTGGGCTGCGGTGTGGCTCGTGGTACAGCACTTGCACGTGTGGGCCCTGGGTTCAATCCTCAGCACCACATAAAATAAAGAACGAACATGGAGCGTCGTGTCCATCAACAGCAGGGCTGGGGATGTGGCTCAGCGGTAGCGCGCTCGCCTGGCATGCGTGTGGCCCGGGTTCGACTCTCAGTACCACATACCAACAAAGATGTTGTATCCACCGAAAACTAAGAAATAAATATTTAAAAAAAACACACATATTTTTAAAAACATGCTGAGTGTCATCTCTTTCTGAGGCGGATCTGGTCCCCCGTTAGCAGGTGCAGATCCGCAATGGCTGGCAGGACCATGCTGAGGGGCCACTGAGGCGCTGCCCCTGGCGGGTGGACAACACGGCAGCCAGGGCTGCTGCTCTAGACAGGGACCTGGCAAACTTGCTGGGACGTCCCCTCCTGCGACTGTCTCCTCGGGAGCAAGTTGGGCACAGATGTGACAGCCTCATGAGCACTGCCACTCAGCATGGGGATCTCAGGAACCCGCCTGTCCACAAACCCTCGGCACCCCACCTGCCTGCGCCCCACCATCCTGCCCCTCACCTGCCTGTGCCCCACCATTCGGCACCTCACCATCTGGCACCCCATCTGCCTACATCCCACCTTCCTGTGCTCCACCATCTGGCACCCCACCTGCTGGCGCCCCACCATCCGGCATCCCACCATCTGGCACCTCACCATCTGGCACCCCATAATCCAGCCCCCCACCTGCCTGCACCCCACCATCCGGCACCCCACCTGCCTGTGCTCCACCATCAGGCATCCCACCATCTGGCACCTCACCATCTGGCACTCCACCCGCCGATGCCCTGCCATCCGGCACCCCATCTGCTGGCGCCTCACCTGCCTGTGCCCCACCATCTTGTACCCCACCTGCTGACACCTCACCATCTTGCACCCCACCTGCTGGCACCTCACCATCTTGGACCCCACCTGCCGGCACCCCACTATCTGGCACCCCACCTTCCTGCACCCCACCTGCCTGCACCCCACTTGCCAGTGCCCCACCATCCGGCACCTCACCATCTGGCACCCCATCATCTTGCACCCCACCTTCCTGTGCTCCACCATCCGGCTTCCCACCATCCGTCCCCCCACCTGCCTCCACCCCACCATCTAGCACCCTACCTGCCTGCCCCCCACCTGACAGCACCCCACCGGCTGGCACCCCACCTGCCGGTGCCCCACCATCTGGCACCCCACCTGCCGGTGCCCCACCATCTGGCACCCCACCTGCCTGTGCCCCACCATTTTGCACCCCACCTGCTGGCACCCCACCTGCCTGTGCCCCACCATTTTGCACCCCACCTGCTGGCACCCCAACTGCCTGTGCCCCACCATCCAGCACCCCACTGGTCGGCGCCCCACCTGCCGGTGCCCCACCATCCGGCACCCTACCATCTGGCACCCCACCTGCTGGTGCCCTACCATCCGGCACCCCACCATCTTGCACCCCACCTTCCAGTGCTCCACCATCCGGCACCCCACCATCTGGCTCCCCACCATCCAGCCCCCCACCTGCCAGCACCCCACCATCTGGCACCCCACCTGCCGGCCCACCACCTGACAGCACCCCACCTGCCTGTGCCCCACCATCTTGTACCCCACCTGCTGGCACCCCACCTGCCTGTGCCCCACCATCCAGCACCCCACCTGCCGGCGACCCAGCTGCCTGTGCCCCATCATTAGGCACCCCATCATCCGGCACCCCAACTGCCTGGGCCCCACCATCTTGCACCCCACTTGCCAGCACCCCACCTGCCTGCGCCCCACCATCTTGCACCCCACCTGCTGGCACCTCACCATCTTGCACCCCATCTGCCGGTGCCCCACCATCTGGTGCCCCACCTGCCTGCAACCCACCTGCCTGCACCCCACCATCCAGCACCCCACTTGTTAGTGCCCCACCATCCGGCACCTCACCATCTGGCACCCCACCATCTTGCACCTCACTTGCTGGTGCCCCACTATCCGGCACCCCACCTGCCTGTGCTCCACCATCCGGCACCCCACCTGCCAGCACCCCACCATCAGGCATCCCACCATCTGGCACCTCTCCATCTGGCACCCCACCTGCCGGTGCCCCACCTGCCTGCGCCCCACCATCTTGCAACCCACCTGCTGGCACCTCACCATCTTGCACCCCACCTGCCGGCACCCCACCATCTGGCGCCCCACCTGCCTGCACCCCACCTGCCTGCTCCCCATCTGCCTGCACCCCATCATCCAGCACCCCACCTGCCGGCACTCCACCATCAGGCACTCCACCCGCCGATGCCCTGCCATCCGGCACCCCACCTGCCGGCGCCCCACCATCTGGCGCCCCACCTGCCTGCACCCCACCTGCCTGCACCCCACCTGCCGGCACCCCACCATCCGGCACCCCACCTTCTGGCCCCCCACCCGCCTGTGCCCCGCCATCCGGCACCCCACCTGCCGGCGCCTCACCTGCCTGTGCCCCACCATCTTGCACCCCACCTGCTGACACCTCACCATCTTGCATCCCACCTGCCGGTGCCCCACCATCTGGCACCCCACCTGCCTGCGCCCCACCATCCTGCGCCCCACCTGCCTGCGCTCCACCATCCAGCACCCCACCTGCCGGCACTCCACCATCAGGCACTCCACCCGCCGATGCCCTGCCATCCGGCACCCCACCTGCTGGCGCCTCACCTGCCTGTGCCCCACCATCTTGTACCCCACCTGCTGACACCTCACCATCTTGCATCCCACCTGCCGGTGTCCCACCATCTGGTGCCCCACCTGCCTGCACCCCACCATCCAGCACCCCATTTGCCAGTGTCCCACCATCCGGCACCTCACCATCTGGCACCCCACCATCTTGCACCCCACCTTCCTGTGCTCCACCATCCGGCACCCCACCATCTGGCTCCCCACCACCATCCGGCCCCCCACCTGCCTGCACCCCACCATCTGGCACCCTACCTGCCTGTGCTCCACCTTCTGGCACCCCACCTGCCTGCCCCCCACCTGACAGCACCCCACCAGCTAGCACCCCACCTGCCGGTGCCCCACCATCTGGCACCCCACCTACCAGTGCCCTACCATCTTGCACCCCACCTGCTGGCACCCCACCTTCCTGTGCCCCACCATCATGCACCCCACTTACCGGCACCCTACCTGCCTGTGCTCCACCATCTTGCACCCCACCTGCTGGCACCCCACTTGCCTGTACCCCACCATCTTGCACCTCACCTGCCAGTGCCCCACCATCCGGCACCCCACCTGCCTGCATCCTACCTTCCTGTGCTCCACCATCTTCCACCCCACCTGCTGGCGCACCACCATCCAGCACCCCACCATCTGGCTCCCCACCTGCCAGCACCCCAACATCCGGCTCCCCACCTGCCTGCCCCCCACCTGCCTGTGCTCCACCATCTGGCACCCCACAATCCAGCACCCCACTGGCCGGTACCCCACCTGCCTGTGCTCCACCATCCGGCACCCCACCATCCGGCACCCCACCTGCCGGCGCCCCACCATCAGGCATCCCACCATCTGGTACCCTACCATCTGGCACCCCACCTGCTGGCATCCCACCATCTGGCATCCTACCTGCCGGCACCCCACCATCTTGCACCCCACCTGCCTGCACTCCACTCTCCGGCACCCTACCTGTGTGTGCCCCACCTGCCTGTGCTCCACCATCCAGCACCCCAGCTTCCTGTGCCCCACCATCTTGCACCCCACCATCCTGCACCCCACCTGCCTGCGCCCCTCTAGCCGGCACCCCACCTGCCTGTGCTTCACTATCTGGCATCTCACCATCAGGCACCCCATTATCCAGGACCCCACCTGCTGGCACCCCACCATCCGGCACCCCACCTGCCTGCACCCCAGCATCCTGTACCCCACCTGCCGACACCTCACCTGCCTGTGCCCAGTCATCTTGAACCTGACATTCCTGCACCCCACTTGTTTGCATCCCACCTTCCTGCAATGCTCCAACCCTGGAATGTCTCCTCTGGCCAAGATGAAAGACCAGAAAAAGCAAAGAGAAAACAGAGACACCTTTTTGTTTCAACTTCATGACTAAGTCCTTGAACACCTCTGCGGGTTTCTGACTGGTTGCTCATCTGTCAGGTTCGTTTGCAGGGCTCTTTTCTAACGGGGTATCAGCCTTTATCACCTGTTCCGCAACTGACCACCTATGTTCTATTTTCACTTTTGGACTGGGGATTTAATTCACGGGTGCTTTGCCACTGAGCCTCATCCCCAGATCTTTTGACCTTTCAGTTTGAGACAGGGTCTCACTAAATTGTTGAGGCTGGCCTCAAAATTGTGATCCTCCTGCCTCAGCCTCCTGAGTCGCTGAGATTACAGGCGTGGCCACTCTACCTGGCCACCACCCACTTTTAGTACGTCTGAGGCCTGTTAGGTCCAACGCAGTGCTGCTCCCTGACCTTTTCAATTCAGCATAAACATTCACAGCACGTTGGGTTCAGGTGGACGAACAACCAATCAGGAGTCCCCCAGGCCCTGCTCGGACTCCCAGGGGCTGTCCAACTGCAGTCCACCTGTCAGCCGTCCACACACCTGGCCTGGGAAGCCCTGCTCTAGGAGGATAAAGTTGTTTGTAAAATGAAAAGCTTTGTGGCGTCTTCCTGGGAGAGAGTGGGAAGACAAAGCCTCGGGACTAAAGGATCCTTGCTCCCAGGTGCGGGCAGCGGGCGTGGGCCCCTCGGGGTGGGAGTGGCCCTCACCTGTCTTCCTCCTGGGCGCGCGGCACTGCCCCCGTCTGGTGCTGGACTCGGGCCAGCTCCTCGTTCTGCCTCTGCTTCCGCTTGTCCCGGATGCTCAGGCAGATGGACAGCAGCAGCAGCATCACCCCAGCCCCGACCAGCACGTAGGCCACGGAGAAGGTCTTGCTCTTGAGGACGCCGCTGCCCACCTCGGTCTTGTTCCCCTGCGCCGTCGGCTTCTCAGCAGCACTGAACCCGGGCACCAGGTTCCACATGGCCATGATGACCCCCAGGACCAGCATCCCCAGGCCGATGGCGGTCAGTGCGTAGTGGGAGCCGTTGGCCTTGGACTGAGCCATCCTGCCGGTGGGGGCGCGGGGCCAGGCCCAGGCCAGACCAAGAAGGAGAGAAGTCAGCAGCAGCAGCAGCAGCAGCGAAGCCCCCGGAGAGCCACGAAGAGACTCTCCAGTGCTGCTCTGGGAGGACGCAGGCCAGACTCTCCAGGGGACTCCAGGGGACTCGGGGAGCAGCTGCGGGGAGGAGAGGCCTGCAGGGGGACAGAGAGCAGCAGGTCAGCCTGGAGGCACCGGGGGAGCAGAGGGGCTCTGCTCTTGGAGGAGTCCAGAGGCCTTTGGAGCCACCGGGCTCTGGCTGGGCCAGGCCTTTGATGCATTCCAGATGTCCTGCGGGCTCCTGCTCCCTGTGCCAGGAGGAAGGGACCCGCCCAGCCCCAGGCAGAGAGGAAAGGCAGACCTCTCCCTGCAGGAGGCCGCGCCCAGCGGCCAGAGCGCAGGGCATTAAAACATTTTGTGCAGTGGAATGAACGTGGTGAAACCTCAGCTCTCTCCAGAGAAGGCAGAGGGTGGATGGAGCAGGAGTGGGCCTCCTGGATCGACCACTGCAACAGGACTCCCCGTGTGGGGGGACAGGGGTCAATGACGTGTCCCATCCAGGCAGCCTGCTGGGGTCTGCTTACCACCCTCAAGGGCTCCCTATTACCCTTAGAGGAAAATCCATCTCCTAGAACGGCGCTCACTCTCGCTGCCTTCCCGGGGCCCTGCCTGCTGCGCTGCCCTCCCCCGCCCTTCTCCGCTCAGCTGCAGTTTCCCCATCACCTGGATCAGGTGCCCTAAACCCCACCAACCGCTGTGGCGCGTCTCCTCCTGGGAGCTCCTGGCTGTCTCTGAGCGGCCCGCAGCAGGGACTCTCAAGGGCTCTGGGATCTCAACGTGGAAAGAAATGACCGGAGGCCACGCGAAGCCACCAGCAAGACCAACTCTTCTTCGGCCACATCAAGTTCCCTTTCCTTAAAGGGGACAGGGGCCTGCACGTTTCCATCTGAGTTCCTGAACCCTGTGCCCGGGAAGCAGCTCGCAGACCCTGAGCGGCAGGGAGCAGCCAGCAGGCTGCAGCCCATGACCGCTGCAGGGCAGGGGACCCCCGAAAGCCCGGGGTGAGAGCCAGGAGGAGCAGGCGCCCCGCTGACCGCCCCGGCAGTCTGTGTGCTGGGTCAAGGTGATTCTTATCTCCTTTTTCTTACCTGGAGAAGAATAGTTGGAAACAGAGATTCACGAGCTGCTTCTCCTGGAGAGAGAAACAGAGAGGTTCATTCTCTGGGCTCTTGGTGGGTCGGTGTCCAGCGCTGCCTCAGACCTGTCCCTCTGGAGATCCTGGTCCTGCCGGGCTCCGCGGGGTCCACAGCAGCCGCTGCCCGCCGTCTCTCGGGCTTGCTGACCTGGAGGTGCCCTGTTCTGTTCAGCGGGTGCCTCTCCCTCCCTCCCTCCCTCCCAGGGTTGAGGCTACAGAGCTTCTGACGTGGCCCTGGAAAGGTGCCACTTGGGGGGCCGCGGGGGTCCTGGTTGGTTCATTCAGCCTCAACCTCCAGACCCCGGATTGGGCCGTCCGTGGCTGCCACGTTCGAGGGGGCCCTAGGGAGAGCCGGCAGCCCGGCGCCCGGGGTTTCAGGGGCAACGGTGAACCAGCTAAGGGAGACCCACCTGGCTCGGGTGAGGACCGCCTGCCAGCCGCTCAGCTGCCCGGATCGAGGCAGACCCACCTGTGAACCGAAAACAGACCCAGTTTTCTAGGTGGACCGTGAGTGAGCATTTCCATTTCGTGGGGTGCTCCTGGGGGGCATGAGCCTTGTGGGGACTCAGAAGGGAAGGGGCGGGCAGGGGTGTGTATCAGGGGACCCAGAGGGCCCAGACTCTAGACCATGAGCAGCAGGATGGGTGACTAGAGGTGGCCAAGGGTCCTCAGAGCCATCGAGGGGAGAGCAGGAGCCGCGCCCAGGTCCTTTGACGGGGTCAAAAGCCCCAAAGATGTCAGCCAGCGGAATCGGGATCCAGTTGTGTTTTTCAGAAAGAGAAGCCACGCGGCAGTCAGGCGGCGGGTCCGAGGCCAGGGCTGGTTCAAGGTGAGGAACCCAAGGCCGTCTCACAAGGGAAGGGAGCCCTGGTGGCCCCCGCCAGAACCCGTGGGCCCTGCAGCCAGCCTGCCCTGGGAGGACTGCACAGGGGACAGGGGCAGCACAGGCCCCGGGGTGTCTTGTCACATCATTCCTAAGTGTCACCGTACCTTGCACGGGCTCTTGGTATTGGCTGAAGTATTCCAAAACCACAGGTTCTGAAAACCCGTCAGTGTCTTTCACGGCCGTCAAGGTCCCTCCTGGTTGGACGGGACACCCCCCCCCTCTCTCATAGCTCATCTTCTGGCTCAGTGACCCTCGGTGGCTTCCATTCTGTCACTGTCACACCACACACTTCCTGCCACAGGGCCTTTGTGGTTGCTGTTGCCCTCGGCTCGAAAGTCCTTGGCTGCCTTGGGCTGGCTCTGCTTTGCTGTCCCCCGGTCCTCCCGCACCCGGCTGCTCTGGGGCCCCTGCCGAGTTCCCTGGTGACATTCCCACCCAGGGCAGTGAGCTCACTGTCTGTGACAGTCTCTTTGCTCTCTTGTTGGCTCCTTGTCACCCCCATCCTGCAAACCCCCTGGAAAAAGGTTCCCGTCCGCCTCGTCCATTGCTAAGTGGGCAGCACCCAGCCCAGTGCGCGGGGACCGTAAGGGGCACTTAATACACATTGACCAAGTGGGCAAATGGCCGCCCGGCGGTCTGACTCTCCCTGAGCTCCCGTCCAGGGGGGAGGACGTTCCGTCCAGGGCGGGGCCGAGGGGCGGCTGAGCCTCACTCTCAGGGCCCCTCCCCCAGTCCCCACCCTAAATGGCTGCCTGGCATCATGGGAGGGTGCCCCCAAACCTAATAACCGCTCTGTGGCCAGGATGGTGACCGCCCATCTTCCCTGTGGGGGTGAGGTCTCAGGGCCCCTGTCCTCCCCGGCAGAAGGCACCAGGAGAGCCCCCCAACCTCCTGCAGCCGGGGAGCGGCTCTCTTCACCCCTCAGTCAGGGGGCAGCTGGAGGGCTGTGCCCGGGGGGGGGGGGTCCCAGCTCCAGACGCCAAGGCCCCCCACCCCCGACCCGGGCAGGTCATGGCTCCTAGCGCACATCTGGACTGGCTCTCCCGCAGGCGGAAACCCACAGAATGGACCAGAGAAGCCGCTTCGCTCACTGCACCGGGCGGAGGGTGGCACAGGATGCAGGGGCCGGCTCTGTGCTGGGGCCTGTGAGGTCCCCGAGCACCCCGCCCCTGCCCCGTGGAGGGAGGAGGTCTGGCCTTCAGGGCTCTGGTGGCCACCAGCCCAGCCCCTCCCCCGGCGAGGCGGCCCGGGACCTCTCCCCACGCAGACCTCCTCCCGCCAGGCTGCACCACTGGGAGAGGGATCCGCTCCGCTCCGGCCAGGGGCCAGGCTGAGCCCCATTTCCATCCCAAAGGAGGGATTCCGGGGAGCCTCTGCGCCAGGTTCCAGGCCTGATGGCCCCAGAGTCATGCGCTGGGGGCGGGAAGAACGGCCCGAGAGCCTCTGCTGCTGCCCGGTCCTGCCTACAAGCTGGCTCCAGGCCACCCCCCACAGACCAGGGTCCAAGGGTGCCAGGTTCCCGACACGGGGATCTCTTAGACTGTGCGTTTGGGAAAATGAGAAGCAGAGGAAAATGTAGAGGAGCTGGGGGGCAGGGAGGACCGGGTCAGTGGGCGAGGCGGGCACAGCAGCAGTGATCACAGTAACCGGGCACCAGCAGCCGCTGACCCAGTCCTCACACCGGCCTTCAAAGACCGAGGAGCCCCACCACCTCTGAGTCTCAGAGTGGGCCAGGATTGGCTTTAGGTCACACAGCAGCAGCAGGGGCAAGACTCATAATGGGATCTGGCCGACTTGACCTGGACCTTCTGCGTCCTGAGCCACTGCTGGGTCCTGCAAGGTGGAGCCCGGGGGCCGGCTCCCCCTGGACCCCTGGCCACACGCTGGCTTTAAGCCCCGGCGCTGGCTCCCTGGGGCATCCGAGTTCCTGCAGAGGGAGGACGTGCGCGGCTTGTAGTCAGAAAGCTCAGTCATCGGTCCCAGCAGCCAGGGGACAGGAGCACAGGCGGCCACCGGGCTCTCCCTGCTCCCCAACCCGAGGCCAGGTTCCTGGGGGCAGGGCAGCAAGGCCGGCGGCTCCTCGGCCCTGGTGGCCGGTCCTGGTGGGCTTGTGCAGGGAGCTCGGCCGCCGCCTCGGGTTTGCATTTTAACCCAGGTTCTGCCACCAGCCAAGGTCACCCTAGTTCTGACTTCTTGGGGCAAACACCGTGACCAAGGGGCAGGACTGCGCTCCCGGGGCCTGGAGGCTGCAGCTCCGGGGCCCTTGGGATGGGGGGCCGGGTTACCATCAGTGCCCGGATGTGAGGGGCTTAAAGCCCAACCAGAGGCCCTGGACAGGGCGCTGGGTGACCCAGGAGCGGCCGCGTTCCCAGGCCTCCAGGCTGATCTGGAGATTAGGGCGCAGGCACGGCTTGTCCTGCCCATATCTGGACTGATTCTTTCCAGCCTCAGAAGCGGTTCCCAAACCTTCTGCCAAGAGCACTCTGGGACCGAGCTGGCTGCCCGCCCTCTCCCACCCGCACCCACATCGCCGCGGTGCCCGGCTCCTGCTGGCTGAGTGGCCCCCAGGCCTCCCCCAGCTCCGGCGCTGTCCCGGGGCACCTGGCTCTTTTTCCAACTCTGACACTTTGGAATTGTAATGACGGTGAGCGCTACACACCTAGCAAGTGCCGGGTGCCTTACATGCACTTATTCCTGTTGATTACTATTTATTATTATACTAACTTTACTTATATTCTGTTTTGTTCTATTTATAAAATCTATGACATTTTATTTATTATGTATTCACTTCGACTTATTCATAACTCTGGGTCTTATTTCTTTAATATCATCATAATTTACTCGATTGTCATTCATCACCATGCTTCAATTTTCCGAGTACCCTGTGACAAACTTTTTAGAATCATCCTCGATTTACAAAGAAATAGTTTCAAGTTCAGAGAAGTTCAGCATCTGGCTCAAAGTCACACAGCAAAGGGCACCGCAGAGATTCAAGTTAGACATGTCTGACTCCAGAGCTACCCCACCCCACCCCGCGCCTCCTGGTCGCCCCACTGCAGGGAAAGCC